TATATATATTATTTTCTCATATTCATCATAAATTACATATTTTTATAAAAACAAAACGTAATTTTATTAAAAACACAAAAAACATTTAAGAACCCTAAAACCGTGCCAAAGAAAACAAAAACTTTATAGTTGAAATCAACCCCAAATCTTTCATTTTTTGAACAAATTGACATGGGGATATGATAGACACTTCAATTAAGATTCAAATGCCCCAAATTTCATGAATATTAATTCACTATTGAGATCTTTATTCAAAAAAATTCGGACTTTTCACTTCACGAAAATTTCAGTAAAAAACACAGCAAAAAAAATTGATATAAAAGCATTTAATCAATAGTAAATCAAAATAGCTAGTTTATTTGATAGATAAGACCTTTATGATCAAACTTCAGTGATCAATTCGATCAAAATTTATCATAAATCAATTTGCTTGGATAAAAACAGTTCTTCCAGCAGCAGTACTTTGGGCCCACAAAAACCTCAAATTTTCATCGTTTTGGAAAAATTGAAATATGTAAACGTTGAATCCTTCAACAAGAAATCAAAGCCCTCCGTGTTTATGAAAATATATGAGGTATTAAAGCTGCATTTGATAGAATGGCAAAAATTTTTAATTTTTAAAATATCCCTTTTCACTCCGCCAAAAACTCTTTGTTTTTTGACTTTTGATTTAATAATCAATGATATATAAAAACTTTACGGTGTATAACATCAATATTTGACTGAAAAAACAAAAAAAAACAACAAAATGGAAGAAAAAAAACGCCCCAAAATCTTGTTCTATGAAAAATAACGGGCCTGTGTAAAATAACGGTCGTTATTTGATGCGTTAAAACGGAATTATAACACATAAAAACAACGGTAAACCAGACTGGTTAGAAAAACTCCCATCTTACCTGGTGTACCTTAAAACCGGCTCAAACCGGAATCACCACCCCACTGATAACGATCTAACTGGCCAGTTCTAACCAGCCGGTTTTGCGAACACGAGTTTATGTACTCAAAATCTATTACTTTTATAAAAGTACTCATTTAGTGATTATTGACCTCCAATCTATTACTTCCTCCAACTTCCTCTAAAATACTCTACCGATAATGGCTAAAAACACCCTCTACGACGTCATTTGTCAAATGTAAAGTTTAATCCATTTCCCTCTATCCAATTAAAACGAAAAAAGAAACTAGATGAAATTTTTCTTTCGAAATTGTATACTATAACGGTTAGATATCAAATTAGAGGGCTTGAAGTGTTCATAAAGTTAGAGAAATTTATTTTTTTATATACCCCAAATTTGAAATCTAATAGACAAAAATAAATGTGATTTTTATGTACCAAAAGTAAATGATCTCTTTATATACATTTCTTTTTATATTTCATTAACAAGTGAGTAACATGGATTTATTCATTGCTGACACGCAGCCGCAAAGAAGCTGGTTTAGAAGAAATTTCCAAACGAAATTTGGAGATCCCATTTGGAGCACCAAATGAGTATATTTCCCATAAATATACACCAAAAAAATAAAAAGAAAAAAGTTTACCTGCAACCTTAAAAATGTAGTATTACAAATGCACCTCAAAAATCTATAAAAAAATGTTGTTTTATGTTAAAAAACCCTCTAATTGATCATCTCGACATCAAGATATATGTATCAACATAAAAATATATATATATTTGAGTCTCAAAAATAGTGCATCTTACAACACAATATCTATACCATCCATTTTCAAGATTTTCATATATTTATAGATCTACTTGATTTTAACCACTTTTGGAGTTTAAAATTTTCTAATTAAATATGAAAATAAATTTTAAGATAATTCTCAGATTTTTTTACAACAAAATTATGTGACGATAAAATTCGGAAGTGCGCCTTAATTGGATTGTTTAAAGTTGCAACCTTATAGAAACCACATCCAAATAAAAATATGTATTAGAGAGATTTTGCCCCAATGTAATGAACGAATCATTTGGCATAAAAATTATTGCAAAATTAGAATGAGACTACGATGCATCTGCACGCCAAACCAGAATCAAATACAGGAGAACAAGATGTATTTGAGAGAGACAGAAAGACTACTTCACATTAATACTCAAAACACAAATGAATATAGCATGCCTATGCATTCTCTCTCTAAATCCGCTCTCCATAAAACTACATTTAGTCTGCCTGGCCAAAATTCCTCTGAAAAAACTTCATGAAAATGCATACATAAGGGCATAGCTTCTGAAAAATCTTCATGAAAATGCGTGCATAAGAGCATATGCCCTAAACACCACTCACAGCAGCAGTCCCTCTACTTTGAGTGTTGTCAGAGAACTCACTAACATCCTCTGAAAGAAGCGAGCGCAAGTACTCAGATGCATTATCTAGGCTAGAAGCTCGATTGGGTGGAGCCACCCTTTTTCGCAGTAGCGATTCGATGCCACTAAACAATGGCTTACGCCCACCTCGAGGCCGGGATCTGAACTGTTCATCCAACTCCACAAAGTCATCCTGACCAGCAGTGCAACACAGTATTAGTGGATACACATTCAAAGAAATAGTTGTGGGATAAGAACAGGACATCAAACACATGTCGGAAGAAATGATTTGATTTATAATCTAGGTATGTTTCAATATGCTATATTGCATTTGCATGGGACTGGAGAGAGGAATTCATCTCAAATAAAGAAAATAAAGGACACATTAATTTATGCCAGATAAAACATCCCAACAAAAAAATTTCTCTACAAACATGCAACCAGTCATGATCAAAGAAAGTGAAACATGTGATCACTAGAATGTAAATTACAACAAGTCCACACTACAATGAAATACTATGGAATAATTATTATCACGAAAGTAGGAGAAAGAATATCCAAAATTGGGATCTCAATCTGCAAGTTTTTGGAGACTCACATGAATATAAACATGAGACTTCTCATGATTATCACGCACGTGCTTGTAAGGGAACTTGCGACCACAATGCGGTTCTCTACAGGTGAAGGGCCGCAGCTCAAGGTGAACTGCTTTCTCATGCTTCTTCAAGTTCGATATCTGAAATTCAACCACCTAAAAAGCTTAAAGCCGCACAAAAACTGATAACATTAAGGTGAACTCCACTAGCAAAAACAAATATCGTGGAAGGCTAGAACTCGAGAATATCCTCAAGCTTGGGTGAGGTAAAGCATAAAGAGCAGTGCATATAAGATGGGTGACCTTTCTTTCAGAAATATATAAATATAAAACATGATGGAGATAAAGAAAAAACAGAGAACGGTGCTAAAAAGGGTAAAACTACAAATAAAGGGAATCATTAATCAGATGACCAGATAATCATCACATCATATAAATACATAAATTTACAATATGAAATAATCAAAGCTATATTATTTATTTGATGTTGCATATATGTCCTTTTTTACAATCTTAATATCGGGTTTCTTAAAGGAAAATAGAGTTCTGAAATTAGACACTCACGGTTGTGAAGATATGACAGCAGCCCCGAACAGGGCACTTGATTCGTTCAATAGAGACTTTATTATCATGGGTACGAAGGTGCCTCTTCATGTTCTTCTTCAGTTGTCGGCTCCCACATACTTCACATGGAACATATCGGTGGTTAGACTTCAGATGGTCCTTGAGAGCTTCAATGTTAGTGAAGTGCTTCATGCACTCTGGATCACAGCAGATTACCTCCACTGAATCAAGCTCGACTGCACCCAACAGAAATCATAATTATGAATGATTGCAGGTGTAAGAAAGAACAAAGGAAAGGAAAGTAAGCTAGGAAAAAGATTCCAGAAAATCGAAAGAAAGCATTTCGGAAAATGCAAACAACGAGAACCCTAAACATCATCTCTGATTCCTACAGAAATAGAACTGGAGACTTGCCAATACAGAAAAAATGAAAATAAAATGGTAAGCGCTAGCCTACAAGTCCAAGGCTAAGTATAATGCAGAATAAGAGAATAAATATCTAAAATTTCCACTTTTCTTCCAAGTGACCTCTAAATATCAAAAAGTGCCGAGTCTTTTTTTTTAGGTAGTTCAAGTGGGGATGGGTCTCCTCTCTATGGTAGAAATAGAATTTAAGATGTCATCTTGAAGGGACAAACCACCTAGCCTTGATCCCATTCCCCCAAAAAAAAAAAGTGTTAAGTTATTATCCAAGCCTTATCCCAATTATTTGGGGCCGGCTATTTATGATATGATGTAGCAAAGTTTTATGCTAGCTGCCTACCAAACACAACCCACCTCCTATACTCAGGCTTGGGAAGGGAAAGTTTAAGGTCCTCATCCTTATTAAACCAATATATATATATATATATATATATATATATATATAA